TCCAGAGAGTTGCTTCACTGAGAGAGGCACAGCCACGGTTCTGCCTTTGTGACTTGCCCACCCCGATTAAACACTAACGACAGCCCCCATGTGCTGAGCTTCCCCTATGAGCCGACCGTTGTGTGAAGCTGCTCTATAGACATAGTCATGCTTTGCGTGCGTTACCTCATTAGTTCTCATGACAGCTCCATGCAGCGGGTGTTGATATCCCTTCACGTTGCAGCTAGAAGGACTGAAGCGTGGAGAAGTTAAGCCGCATACCCAAGTGGTAGAGCCTGGGTGCGAACCCAGCCCCGTCCCTCAGTCAGTGGTTGCACCAGCCACACAGTTGCTCCGGCCAGAAAGCGCACGACTCTCGATTCCTTTCTTTTCTTCCTCCTCACATCCGCTCTCTCACCAGGTCCTCTTGACGCTCTCTCCTAAAGATGCCCCAGGTCTGGCCACTTTTTTCCATCTCCACAACTCTAGCTTAGCCCACTCCCACATCAGCCCCACCTGGCACGCTGCAGCAACCTCTTCACACTCTAAAACTGGATCCTGCCGCTGCCCTGTTTAAAACCCCCAGTGACTGTCCAGCTGCCGTGAGAAGAAAACCTAACCTTTCCCACGGCCCATGACAGGCTGTGTGATTGGGTCCTGGCTGCCCCGCCCCCACACCCCATCCTCCTTTCATTCCAGCCTTTGCATGGGATCCCCCTAGTGAGAATGCTCTTCTCCAGATCTTTGCTCCGCTGGCTCCTTCTCCTCATTCAAGTTTCTGCTCAAAAATCCACTCCTCACAGGGGCCCTCTTGGATCACCATAAGAAGAAGCCCTTCCCCAGCCTCACCCACAGCCCAGCCCAGTTCCTACATTGTACTTTCATCACAGTGCCTCCCTTCTTTATCTTACTCACTGCTGCATCTCCGGTGCCTAAGAGTGTGCCTGGAGCTGAGCAGATGCTCAGCACATGACTACGGAATGGATGGTGTCACGTGCTAGTCCCTTCGCCTAGAAAGCCCCGGCCATCCCGTGCCCCTCCCACACTGAACTGTGGAGCGTCCTTCAGTTCTGGCTCAAACGTCGTTTCCTCAGGGAAGTTTTCTGTGACCCTCTGTTGCATCCTTTTGTCACCTTTGCTTTTCCTGCAAATAATCACATATGCTTGTGTGATTATCTGGTTAGAGTCTGTCTCTCCCACCTGACTGTAAGCTCCTTGAGGGCAGAGGGTGGTCCACCTTGCTCCCTGCTTTCCTCATCGTGCCCAGCACATCCCTTTGTCGAATGGGTGAATGGAGGAGTGAATCCCTTTTCTGGTATCAGCTTGGTCCCTGGTTGGACTGTGTGTGCCTGAAATGAACAAGAAGTTCCTGAGTGCCCCTGACTCCCTGGTAATCTCATCAGTATGTGACTAGAGAGAGACTGCGGGAATAGGAAAGACACCTTTCCTTTTGGGAATCTCCTGACCCGGTGACACCAGCATGTAGCCCACGTTATACTGCCTGAAACGTTGCTCTGCTTTTTCAGTGTTGCCTTTTATGTTTCCTTCTTAGGACTTATGTCCACCCATTGGATACCCCACCGGTGAGCATGGCGCCCAGGAACACCCTCAGTCCACTTCACCAATGTCCCCTTTTTGTCATATTTCCAGTAACACATTGTTTTTAAAATGAGGCCCACCTGTATATAGTTGTGAGACGTTATTATCAACCCTGGTACACGTAGCAATAGATGAGGAACGTTTGGTTCAAAAATTCATATCCTGTTTCTGTGGCTGAATGATTTTGAACAAAGCTTTTCACTTCAGTTGCTGGCTTGCTCTTTACACCTCCAAAGGACTGAAAGGCTCAGAATCATAGAGATTCAGCTCATCAATGTGATCCCCAAACCCACTGTTGAGCCAGTGGGATCAGGAATCCAGTGCTACTAACTAATTTAACTTGTTGAAGCTTAGATTTCCTTTCTCACCCTCACCCTAAAATACCAGCAACCCTCACAGAGACAACTAAAACTTAGAAATATGGCTTTCAAAGAAACATTTCTAAAAATATCCTAATTTTGAAAATGAATGTAAGTTGCCTTACATTTATAAGGATTTTTTTTCCATATCAGGCAAAGAAGCCAAAGTTCGGAGTGTATACATTTGAAATGTTTGCTGGGTTCTTAGACCATATTGTTTCTCCAGAGGATACCACAAGAATCATTGTCCTACTACTGATTACCTAGAGCTAATACATTAATCACAGGGCTTTCTTCATACACCAAGGCTCTGTCTAGCTACATAATAGCATCCAAGTGTTTTGGCCAAGAATTAAGTAGTTTACATGAATGTAAGTGGAATTGTCTTAAAGCCTAAACCAGACACAGGTGTGGTTTTTGTTTTTGTGTTTAAGTTTTATTTTTTATTTTTCTGGGTTGTTTGTCTGGTTCTTTTTTTTTTTTTTTTTTTTTTTTTTTTTTTTTTTTTTTTTTGTCTTTCTTTCTTTCTTTTTTGGTAATATCTTCAGCTGATGTCCTGGCACTTGACAAAGTCATTCACACACTGTGGTCCATCTGCCTTCCCTCTTGGCGTAGGGATTAGTTCAAGCTGCTCCACTGATATATGCTCAAATGTCATAAGTACTTTTAGAAGCTCCTCTCCACCCAGCTTCTTGTCTCCAGAGAGTCATTCCTTTCCCCTTCCCCTCTTCCCCAGCACCAGCCAATCCCTTTTATCCTGCTTGTCCACTTAGTTCCCTTTCTGCTAGAACTCCCAGCTCCGTGGCATAAATAACATCCCTCGAGGTAGAATTTGTAAAAAATTCCAAAGATCTGCCTCGATTCTGTTGTCACATTGGACTCATCATCGGTAATATGTATCATGTGCTTCTCCTAGGGTTTCACATGCTTTATCACATTTAATCACTCAAGTAGTCCTGTAACTCTATCCTCCTCATTCAGCAGATCAGGCCGCCAGGGCTCAGAGAAGCTAGGCGGTTTGGCCAGCGCAGCAGCGTTGGAGCTAAAAACCCACATCTCCTGCCTCCAGCTTTCCTGCTAGCCCAAGGTCCCACTCGATGACATCTTTTGAAAGAATGGTCGCATTCAGGAGCTGGGGAGTAACTTGTCTCAAGATTTTATTGTGGTTGTTGTAATGAGACTTATTTGGGAAGGGACTTCTCTCTATAATCTAGAACACAAAAGATTAGCTCTATAGTTTCTTTTAAAAAAAATTTTTTTTTTTTTTTTTGTCTGTGTTGGGTCTTCATTGCTGCGCACGGGCTTCCTCTAGTTGCGGCGAGCGGGGGCTACTCTTCGTTGCGGTGCGCAGGCTTCTCATTGCGGTGGCTTCTCTTGTTGCGGAGCAGGGGCTCTAGGCACGAGGGCTTCGGTGGTTGTGGCTCAGGGGCTCTAGAGCACAGGCTCAGTAGTTGTGGCGCACGGGCTTATTTGCTCCGCGGCATATGGGATCTTCCCGGACCAGGGCTCGAACCCGTGTCCCCTGCATTGGCAGGCGGATTCTTAACCATTGCGCCACCAGGGAAGTCCTACGGTTTGTTCTTGAATTCAAACCCATCTGGCATTTTGACTCATTCATACTTATGAAAACCTTTGACATGCCAGACACCAGAGATAGAAACAAGACATGTGATTCCTGCTGTCACAGAAGCTAGTGGGGAGAAGACAAATAAATGGGCAGTTGTGGTATTTTAGTAAATACCTGGGTAGGGGACATACTGGGGTGATGGGAGCGTGTGACTGGAACTTACAACCCAGACTTGACAGGTGAGAAAGGCTTCCCAAAAGAGGGGACTTCTGACTTGAAGACTGAAGGATGACGGAGAATTTTAGGCAGCTTGGGATTGGGGTTGGGTGGGCAGTAAGGTTTCAGGAAGAGGAAAAAGCAGTGTGAAGGCCTGGAGGTGAGAATGTGGTCCAGGTTGTCTCAGTTTTTGCTTATTAGATCAGATTTCATGATGTAGCTGTTGGAGAGACTTGGAAAAAGCAGATCAGTGGGGAAAGCTACTGACCACGCTCAGAAAATACCTGTTTCTCACATCTAATCAACAGAAAAAACTCGAGTCTCCACTCGCATCCACCAATCCCTTCCTAGAAGATGAGCCAGCACCAGAGATGGAGGAACTGGCGATGGAAAAAGGAGACGTAGAGCAGGTAAGTCTGGTTTGCATTTCCCTGTGCAACCTACCTAATGTTTGTTTCTGAAAATGGGTCTGCTTGCTCTAAATATGATCCCTTGGCTGTTGACTACATTCAGAGACTACAACCTTGGTGGTCTTTATAGAAGGCCTTGATCTGAAAGTGCATTTAGAAACCGGAGTGAAAGAGCAGCCCTTCCTGCCCCACCCCTTGGCTCCCGAATGGCACACCGGCCTTAGCAACACGGCCAAGCTTAATTAATTAGTCCATGTGGTGGGGCGGCAGAACTCTGCCCCGCCTCCTTCATCATCTCCCAAGCTCGTCAGCTTAGCTTTCCATTGTCCCCTGATCTGGTCTGGTGATGACATGAGTGGCTGAAAGATCCCGGGTGAAGTTAGCAGCACCGTCAACCAGGAGAGGTCTCTGCTCAGCATAAGCCGAGCACCTTAGTCTGGAAGCCGGTGGAGAGGCCTGGAAACACCATGGTGACCAATGGCATATTTGGAGAGTTACTTTTCAGCACTTTGATTTCCTTCAGCTTTTTCTGCCCAGCTCTAAATTTCCTCTCCCTTCATCCCACAGAATGGTGTTTTTGTTTCACTGCCATTTTATGGTGAGAGAGCTTAGAGCAATAAATCAGGACTTTTCCTGTCTGGATTAGTGATCCTTCTTTTTAATTTTCTACACTTGGCTGCTAGAGGATTATTTTATGGTATTGTTTTTGCTCCAGACATCACCGAAAGGGAGGCCTACTGGGAAGAGCAGCTCTGGGAAACCCGTAGCCACGCACTTTGCAGTTAACCCTGCATTCCTAGCATGGGGAGGGTAGGTGTACAATTCTGGCAGGAGCCAAGAGAGCAGAGTTTCCAGGAGCAGTTCTGAAGTGATGTCATCAAATGTGTCTGATCCATCGATTAAATAATTATAATAACATGGATGCCTCACGTTTTCATGGTGCTTTATGGTTTAAAAGTCCTTTCCACGCTATATTCCCTTTCATCCTCACAATGCCTGCCTTTCCTTTTATAGGATTTTATATGGGAGCTGCAGGTTAAGTGACTAGCCCAGGGTTACACAGTTTGAAAGTGGAGGAGCTGAGACCAGAAGCTAGGTCTAGAAGTCAGAGACTAGAATTCCTTTTCTGGCGTTCCTTCTATTACATCGGTGATGTCTCCCTGAAAAGTGGAGGACATAGAAATGCATCCCGTGAATAAAAGTGAATGGATAAAACTGAAGGGATACCTTGAGGCCATATCCCAGAGATCTATGGGATTAGATGTAATTGATTTAAAGCCATCATATCAGCTAGGCTGGGAGAAAACAAAAGATTTCTTCTAACTAAAGAAATGCGTCTCTCACATTTTGGGAGGAAGGACTGGGGTGGGAAAGAAGACTGTGGGTGTGGAGCTCATCCTTCCCATGTATCCTCCACCCGCGCTCGTCACCTGCACCCTCTGAGCTGGCCTGGTGTGGCTGGGACGTTTTCAGGGCCCTCATGTCTCCCCAGTACAAGTGGCTGCCATTGTCATGTCCAGAATTGTGTAGCTGAACACTCAGATGCTGCCGTGAAAAGTTATCCCTTTCGCTAGTCATCTCTGGATATTATTAAACTGGATTATGATAGCCCCCATTAGCTACAAAATCAGTTTTGCCAGGTAACATATGATTTTTCTTTCTTGTGGAACTTTTTACTCATCTTTTAAGCTTGAGGTTACTGTCTTAGAGACAAAGACCTGCTCATTCTAAGGACACAGAACACAGGTACACGGGGTAAAGAAGAGTCACGTGATGGGGAAGATGCCAGACTCTGGTTTGCCATTAGCTGCCCGCATGACCTTAGGTAGGTTTTTACTCTCTCTAGACTTTCCTCGTTTCTCCATGTATAGAGCGAGGCAGTGGTTTTCCAGCTGTATTCCTTGGTGCCCTGTCAGATGTCACTGTGGGGAGTTGGGATGAGACCAGGGCCCCAAGTCCCTCCAAATACAGCAGTTCTGTTTTGAGTCACTTTTTTCATGGACTTCCATATAAAATTGCTTTTGGATCAGGGGCTCTAGGTGTGTTCAAAAAGAAAGTACTGAAAACCCCTGGACTAAATGATCCGCCCGTAGCTTCACGGGCTGTTACTTGTTAGTAATAAAACTTATACGTCAGTGACTAATGACTCCTCAGCTGCCATCCCGACCTCCCACCACCTCCCCAGCATCTGTCCCACTTGTGGTTGTTGATGTGGGAGCTCAGGACCCCCCTTTTCCCAGCCACTCGCTGGCTTCTGGAGCTGGGCGCACAGGAAGATGAGGAGCCAGGTGGGGCGCTCAGGGCAAGCCCACAGTGTGCTAGCGGCGAGCTCGGCCAGAGGTGGCGGGAGGCCCCAGTAGTTACCCAAACCACTGCATCCCTGCAGTTGGCAGACGGGTGGCCCTCGAGGTGAGGGTCACTCCCTGCTCACCGCTGCAGTTAGGCTCTGGAGAAGGGAGCGTGAACTTGAAAAGAGGTATTTAGTTTGAACAATCAGTTGCCAACATGTTCCTGATGATTAAAAACTGGCCTCTGAAGAGGGACTGAGGGTACTCAGAGTATAAAAGGAAGAGAGAAGGAATAAGGAATTTCTGGTTTTAAAATGTACCCTTCTGGTGATCCGAGCAGTTAGATTTAATCTGTTTACACTGGATAGTAATAAAAGGAAATGGGACCAGCTGCAGACCTCCTTACTGTGACAACAGTAACCTTTTATTATTCCATCAAACTCCAGGAGGAAATAGCTTAAACATCTGCGGCTTTTGGACAGAATTCACACACTCCAAAATCCAGCCTGAGTGCTACTGCTAAATGACTTAGGATATTCTTTAAGCTGAGAAGCAACCCTTTGGGGAGCTGGACGGTACAAAGGGAGACACCAGTATGAGCCGAAATTCCAGCCCATTTCATCTAAATATGAGCACAGCTAGGAGGCAGCCAGAGGCAGGAGGCAGCCCTGTGGAAAAAAAGAAAAAAGGAAACTTCAGGCAATCCCTCCCATTGTTCCCCTCTTGCTTCCAACTCACGTTGAAAACACAGTAAGAGGACAGAGAGCCATGGCGACAGGGCCCTCCTCACTGCCAGGAGTGCCGTTAGCGGACAGAGGCTGGGCGGAGCGGACTCCCCTGTGGGGATGGGGGTCAGGCCACCTGCACAGTCTGGTTGTGCGGCTCTCTGAGCCACATCCAGAGGGTTCTGTGGGGCCTCATGAAGCGTGGGGCCTCATCAAGCATGGGGCCTCTGGGAGACTGATCAAGATGAGTTTGTTGGAATATCATGTAGTCATTTTCCTTAATCATTAGAATCTTATGTTTTATACTGAATGAGCTCTTCAGACTTATCCATACATTTTTATCATATATCACTTTTGTGCATACATAAAAAGGAAAATATAAGCAAAATAAATAGGTTAAGATATTCCCAAGACTTCTTCACATTCAGAGCAAACCTTACTGAACCACCTAAAAAAAAAAAACTTTTTATTTTGAAATAATTATAGACTCATAAGAAGTTGCACAGAGAGGTCCTGGGTACCCACCTCTCAGCTTCCCCCAGTGCTGATGGCTAACATAACTATAGTGTGTTATCAAAACCAGGACGTTGGCTCTAACCCCGTTTTCACTCGGGCGTGGATGTCTGTGTTTCCCCACTGTGTGGTCCTCCAGGTCATCCGGAGTGTTGGTGATATGCCGTTTCTCAAAATGCTCCACTACTGTACCTGGGATTATCTGCCATGTTTTTTATTGTCATTTGAACTTTTTTTCTTTTTTAATAATGTCAAACTTAGGGAAAGTTTTAAGAATGTTACAAGGAACTCTCAACATCTTTCACTTGGGTTCACCAGTTGTTACTGTTTTGCTACATTGACTTTTCCATTTCCTCCCCCCTCCCTCTCTCTCTCTCTCTTTCTCTCCCTCCCTCCCTCTCTCTCTTTCACAACAAGTAAGTTTATAGGTATCACACCCTTTGCCTCTGAGTATTTCAGTATGTATTTCCTTTTTAGGAAATATATTCACTTAAGAAATATTTTCACTTAAATTACTACAGATCAAAATCAGAAAACTTAACATTAGTACAATACTATTATCTCATTTACAGACTTATTTAAGTTTTATAATGTGATTCAAGAGTGATAAATTGGGGCTTCCCTGGTGGCGCGGTGGTTGAGAATCTGCCTGCTAATGCAGGGAGCACAGGTTCGAGCCCTGGGCTGGGAGCATCCCACATGCCGTGGAGCAACCGGGCCCGTGAGCCACAACTACTGAGCCTGCGCGTCTGGAGCCTGTGTTCCGCAACAAGAGAGGCCGCGACAGTGAGAGGCCCGCGCACCGCGATGAAGAGTGGCCCCCGCTCGCCACAACTAGAGAAAGCCCTCGCACAGAAACGAAGACCCAACACAGCAAAAATAAATAAATTAATTAAACTCCTACCCCCAACATCTTCTTTAAAAAAAAAAAAAAAAAAAAAATAGAGTTACCATGTGATCCTGCAATCCTACTCCTGGGCATATATCCAGAGAAAACTATAATTTGAAAAGATACATGCACCCCAATGTTCATTGCAGCACTAATTACAATAGACAAGACATGGAAGCAACCTAAATGTCCATCAACAGATGAATGGATAAAGAAGATGTGGTACATATATAC